AATTTTTTTATTCCTTTTTAAACAGAGATTTTTTGTATATTTACCCTTTTTTGTATCTCTACAATCAATTGATTATGAAATGTATATTCAAGTTTCAAAATCCTAGGTGGTTCGAATTACAACCTGACATACACTGGTTGGCTTGACGGGAACTACGACCGTGACTATGGGACCGGTAAAGGCTTGGGTTTTAACCGCAACATGGCCTTCTCTAGGTCGGATCACGATCGCAATCAGTCGAGGAGTGGTGTTATTTCTGCAGCTGTATACGGTGGTAGATGGTGGTATAACTCTTGCACTGCTGTATGCCTCAACAACGCTCAAGCTACCCCTACTTACAGCCCCTTTCAAAACTTCTGGTGGATCAAAGTGAGTGGCACAGAACTTCGTATTTTCAGCGTACACACGAGTGAGATGATTATGATTAAAATGAACGAAGCTTATTTGCCATAATTGGTTTGTTACAAGGAACGAAATCTATCTTTTTAAACTTCATATGGCGTGTGGGGGGATGATTTTCATAAAAAATTTCAAATTTTAGAAAAAAAAAATTTTCATTTTATTTTATTTCATTGAAATTTTTTAATGTTATTACTGCTGCTCCATAAACCTTAAAAGGCAGTCGGAATATTCAGGGCTTCGCCCTGATACGAGCAGTCTTGTTGTTTTTATTCTCATAATGACTTCAAATTGTCTTGAATGAACATATATTTCAAGACAAAACTAACAAACCAACCACTGCTGTTGATAGTTTTCATCTAAGCAGCTGGTTATTTTTTAATACAATCACCAATTTTGATTTAAAACATACCAATTTCATTAGTCATCCTTAAATCAAATACCCATCTTCGTCAAAAATAAAAACGGAAAGTAAGCTAATTGAACTGCTTTTTCTTCGGAGACAGACTGCAGGCCGTTTGCTATAATTACGCTATTGACTGGTACTTGCTGTATTTTTGTGTCCTGTTTCATTTTCTGCACGAGAAGCCTTGCATCCGAACGACCAGGAAATACTTCGTGCGTGTGCTCATTTCTACAGGCAATAAGATCGTTTTCTCGGGTTATTGCTGTCGTTTTGCATTTATGGGACCCCCATCTTGAACACTTCCAGTGAATGTTTCCATTCTTTGTTTCCTGTTTTTTCGTAAACTCGTGGCCACCGATTACAAGCGTTCGCCGATTCTGTTGGGATAAACCCCAAGAAATTTGACTCATTTTGGTAAATGTTATTCCAAAGAAAATTGATATAATGACGTAGTTTTGGTTTCATTTTTGTACGTGATTTTGAAAATTGGGGATTAAAACTTGTTAAATGAAACAAATTTCAGATTTTGAGGCTCTAATTGCGATTTAGTCTTTAGAGCAATTTCCTTAAGTGAAAGACTCAAATTGAGTCCAAAAATTTAGACTCAAATGAATTAACACGTGCTGTATCTTTCCGATTCTAATTAGGACTTTGAAAGATTACATTATGGGACCTCATTATGGTATATAGGGCAGATTAGTATAGGGTAGATTAGTATAGGGTAGATTGGTATAGGGTAGATTGGTATGTAGGGTATAATGGCATAGGGTAGAATGGTATAGGGTAGTTTGGAATAGGGTAGATTGTCCTGCCACCAGAAGTTTCATAACATGTTCAAACATTTCGCACTATTGATCAATCAAGTATAGATGAAAAGACTGCATCCAATTCTCCCGTCGGTTTTATAAGCTAATGAAACAGAAACGAAATTTTAGTTATGTAAAATTGTTATGTTTTTCATCTGTGCCAAAAATATAAAAGTATCTAGTTGTATATCAATACCTAACTTTTATTTGTTTCTTGCCATATTTTCTTTTTGAAAAAGATTTTGGGTTTGTGACGATGATATGATTGTACTTTATCAGTAAATGATGATTTTTTAATTTTCAAATTTGCGCCCGATTGTTTCAACCAAAGCCTTGAATTGAATTTAAAAAAAAAACATTTATTTTCCGTTTATATAAACAGCCTCATTTATATCTTGGATCTTTGAAACTCCTTCATTACAGACTTAGTTCCCGTTGTATTTCATTTTGAAAAGCAAACACTTTTTCAAGATGCTAGTATCAAAGTAAAGAACTAAAATGATCTCGTTTTTAGTCAATTTTTTTTACCGTGGATGGCTAAGACACTTGTATATCTAAATCCAAATTACGCTCTCCAATTGCAAATGTCTAACTGCCGTGAAAAAAGTTAAGTAATATCTAGTTTCAAGAATGCTTTTCATTTTTAAGAATTACCAGCAACATGAAAACTTCTGTTGAACCAATTTTTTTTTCGAATTGGGTTAGTTTATCAAAAAAGCAAAATAATTGTTCATTAAACTCATAACTTAAAGTCACTTTTAGGTACCTTTTTTGTTTTAGTGCAATTTAGTTTCCTCTAATTGAACAGGCAGAGATGGAATTTCGCTTGGAACGCAAAAGTTTTAGAGCCCTATAACCTTCTAACTTGAACTTTTTATTTTTTTCCGACAATTTTTAAATCTATCTTCTGATTTCAATGTGGAACTCTGTTGTTAGAGTCATAAATCAAACTTGAAATTGAGATATGTTGCTCTTATAATTAGTATAGTTTTCAGCGGTGCGTCATTAATGAGCTATTCAATTAAGGATTATAAGGATGTATAGCAAACATCACTTATTGAGCTATCAATTACCAGTTGATAAGTTTCTGTTGTAGAGAAACTTTACCGAAAGACAATGAAAACATCTACCGAGAGTAACTATAACAAAAATTTAGCTACATTACCTAATCGAATTTCAAAGGAAAAGAGAGACAGAGAACGAACGAAGCAACAGGGAAAGAGCGAAAGAGGAAATTCTAAGTTGCTCTTCAAGATACTTAAACACAGCGCAGTGAAAAGCGAAGGGGATAAAGAACATACAAACTAACACAAAATAGCAACTCAGAGAAACCATTCACTCGCATATTTTGCGATAAATTTATTTGAAAACCGTCATGCAAAAAACCTAAAAATGGAATGTCTCAAAAAATACTGCAAGCAAAATAGTCCCTCTCATGTGGTAGTAAAGTCTAGCATCGTTGAATAAATAGAACAAACTTGAAAACATTCAATGCGGTATCATTGTTTGTTTTTGTTATTATTACAAGAGCGTCACCAAAAAAATATTGTCGTCTTTGTCAAAAAAAGTAATCGAAAGCCCTATTAGAAAACAACGAGAACAGTAAACATGCAAACACTTTTCAGTAGTGGGATCAAAGCATCTTCACTTTTGACTCTGTTCAGCACGAGCTTCAAGAGTTTGATAACAGTTACAAAAAGGAGTTGTTAAAACTAGCTCGAGTCATCCATCCTAGCCATTTTTAATCAAAAACTAGTGTCGTTTTGATTCGGATTGGTCCGAAAATTTTAACAAGACTGCTCGTATCAGGGCGAAGCCCTGAAAGTTCCGACTGCCTTTTAACGTTTATGGAGCAGTAATAACATAAACAACATAAAAAAATTAAATTAAATAAAACAAAAAGAACAATTTTTTTTCTAAAATTTGAAAATTTTTCTATGCAAATCATTCCCCACACGCCATATAAAGTACAAAACAATAGATTTCGCTCCTTGCAACAAATCAATTATGGCACATGAGCTTCTTTCAACAAATGTGGAACGATTTCTAAGACGGATTAAATCTCCGCTTACGCGTTAATAGCGCGAATTATATCGCGTGTTAATTGTCCCAATTGGTCAAAATGGCCAAAATGGCAATGTTTAAACCCTCATTACTTTACGAAAAAAAGGTCACAGTTGAAATATCTTTTCAATTTTAAGCTCAGAACAACAATAGCTTTCGAATGATATTTAAAAAATTCCGCCAAAAATGGCTAGTTAAAAAGTCCAAATTTGTCTGAAGAGAAAAAAAAACCCACCCCGAGCACAAAAATTCCGTTACCTTCGTATCGAAAGTCGGAACAAAAAAAACGAATATATCAAATTTTCTTTGTTTCATTTCCCACTTTTAAAATACAAAGCCTGTATTTAGGGTCTCGTTTTGTTTAGTTTAAACTAAATTGATGACTTCAGTTCCATTTTGAACGCATTAATTTGCCGCTTACGTGTGTTATAAGAACGCACTATATTGCGCACTATTGATCTCAAATTGGCCAAATAGCAATTTTCAAACCCCCTGAACTTCGCCAAAAAATGATCATATTTGAACTCAAGACAACAATATGTGGCATAAGCAATTTCGTCAAAAACGCTTAGTTAAAAAGTCCCGAACTGAATGAGTAAAAAAACACCCAAGCATGAATATAAGACACTTCAAAAAATTGAACAATTAAGCTTCCAAAATCTTAAATAAAATTTTTAAAGCTCGAATTTTTAAGTCCAGTATATGGCAAAATTGACTTTTTTGGAACTCCCAGAATTTTATCAAAATCAGTCGCAGATGATATTATTTCCTAAGTTTGAGCTCAAAAAGCAAAAACATTCACAGGGGGTACCAAAAATACATAAAACTTAAAATAAAAAGGCAGTCTACATAAATACATAAAGTCTAAATTTATCAGATCGGTGAGACAAATAACAAAAAAACCACTCAAATAACTTATTCAGAACACTGATTTAGAAATTTAGACTTTTCACCCCCTGGCCACTCAGACATCCATTTTAGCTGAGCGACCCCTTCTGTCCCCCTCCCCCAAATCCGCAAAGTGTTCAAGTGTTTTTAAGTGAGCATTGATGCAAGCACATGAACATGCGAATGTTTTTACCCGAGACCAATTTTCCACGAAACACGAGACCCAATTTCCAATTCATCAAGGAAACTTGCTCTAGTATCTTGCTCTCGTAATTTTGGTGAATTTTGAGTGCGTTTTGATAATTTCTATTTAAAAAAAAACAGCCAAACTTTAAAACAAAACTTGTTAGGTGATCTGTCGCGTGCGTCCCCTGAACTAGAACGAATTGAGTAAGGGGAAGAAGGAGGCGGTGAATGTGAATGGAAACTAGGTCAGCATGGCTGTCAAGGCCGACAAGAAGTACAACTTCGACGCCGTCATCGGACCCAACGCCACTCAAGCACAGGTGTACGACGTCTCAGCCAGACATGTGCTGGATGATGTGCTGGCAGTTAGTAGCTCAGTAGCTGTTCCTCATATTCCTCACTTTTAAAAGTTTTTTCTCCTACATTTTTTGAAGTCTCTGTTTATGTTTGCTATAGATGTCTGTTAAAATACATGTATTGAGGCTATAATTTTTCTTGAAGGTTATAAGGAGATTAATCTTTTTTAAAACGCTCTTTGCAGTTTCTGATACATCAGCCTTTGACTACCTTTGGATCCAAGACGTTCTCTTCAACATACTTTCAACGACACAAACTTCTGCCATTTTCCCTGATGTTAACTTGAATATTACATGACTTTTAGGGTTACAATGGTACTATCTTTGCCTACGGGCAGACTGCTTCTGGGAAGACGTTTACTATGGAGGGAGCGCTGAAGGACAAGGAGGGACAGGGAACCATCCCCCGTCTCGTTCTGGAGTTAAACTGTTTTGGTGAATCTGTTTGAAAACTAAACCTTGCTAAGTTAGGAATATCGCCGGATGAATCAAAAACCCAAACTTTAGTAGTTTAAGATCAATAATTTTGTTTTGATTGTTGAATCCAGGAACAATTTTTGCATGGAGGTGCTCTATAAACTTGAAACACGTTTAAAAACCCGCAACAATTCAAAAACAAGCTGCATTCAATCTTGATATATTTCTTTTCTTTTTTGTACGTTTTTTGTAAAAAAAATTCTTAGGAATCTGAAATAGTTTTTTTTGAATTTCAGAAGACAAAGAGTCTTTTTTGTTTTTTTATTTAACATAAGAGTCCTTTGATTAACATTCTCTACGTAATCATACTTGAAGAATGCTCTCTGTGACTTTTAGGTAATCGCCTATATTGAGAAGACTCCAGGCTGGGACTTCACAATCCAGATATCCTACTTCGAGATCTACAACGAGAAAACCAGAGATCTACTCAACCCGAAGACAGGCGAGAATGTGCTGAGGATAAAAGAAGAGGCCATATGTTGAGGTATGGAAGTTCAAAACTATCCATACAGTTTTATGGTATTACCATGATTATTATTCAAGTTCATGACTAAAAGCCAACTTCGAATAGTTTTTTTCGTTATTGATTTATTTATACGCTTACTTAAATAGGAACTGTCTAAAGAACGAACGAGCAATTTTTTGTTTTTATACTGTTTTTTTTTCTCATCTGAGATACTAATTATAAAGATAATAATGATATTAATATCAAATTCTCTCAAATTTTCAAAAAAATAACATTGTTAATTGCCAGAAAAAATTTTGAAATTCAGTTAGTTCAGTTGAAATTCAGTTTGTTTTTCTGTGGTGTCAGAATTTGACAGACGAGAGTGTGTCTAAGCCGAGTGAGGTCATGAACTTCATAGAGAGCGGGAAGAAGAATAGGAGTATCGGACAGACCAACATGAACGAACACTCCTCCAGGTCCCACTCCGTATTCCTCATGAACATCGGTCAAGGTCAGTATATCAGTCAAATATACAGATGAGTCTTTAATGCAAACAATGTGCGCAGGAAAACTATCAAGAAAAACGGCATATTTTCTTACCAAAAAAAAATTTTTTTCCATCAAAATCTGTTCAAACAACGAGCGGATCATAGTCTGAATTTCAAAACTTATTTTCATTTTGAAAACTTTTTTTAGTTTTTAATTGTCTGTTTGTACTAGAAAACAAAGTTAGTGGAGAAAAAAGATCTGGTCAGCTGTATCTGTTCGACCTCGCCGGCAGCGAGAAGGTACGAACTATTTGTACTCTTCCTTAAACCTTAGTTTTATCATAACTTTTTCATAAACTGTTTCTGTAAATCGACCCAACTCATAAAACAACGAGATTAAAATGGAAGACTGCTTAACAATTTTAACAATAAATTTTTTTTTGTTAATTTTTAAAGACAATGAATCAAAATTCAACGACCTCAAAAACTGAACGGAATATTCTGATTGCAGTTTTGTTTAGGTGGGCAAAACAGCTGCGACTGGTCAGACGTTGGATGAGGCGAAGAACATCAACAAGTCCCTCTCCTGCCTGGGAAACGTGATCAGTGCTCTCACTGAGAAGGGAAAGAGCCACGTGCCCTATCGAGACAGCAAACTCACCAGGATTCTACAAGTCACTTTTTTCTGATAAATGTTGACAGAATAATCTGAGAAACGACAGGGTGGATTTTAATAGTTGAAAACACGGCTAAAAAGAAACAAAAATAACTTTCCGACACTACTTGACATTTATTTGTGGCCTTTAAAAACGCATCCGAATCAAAGTAAAAACATGAACGCAAAATCAATAAAATTACCATACGAAGTTAAAATGTGCAAATCAATTGACTTGGCTTGTTTTGGCATTGAAGCTTGTGGTAAGCTTAAAACGTTGATAAATTATTCCTGAAAAAACTGTTTTTTTTTAAAACTGTAACTTCATTGAAAACTTTATCTTTCAGCAATCTCAGGGCGGTAACTCTAAGACGACCATGATCATCTGCTGTTCACCGGCTAAGATGAACGAGGGCGAGACACAGTCTACTCTGTTGTTCGAGACTATAGTGAAGACCATCAAGAACAATGTGACTGCGAATGTGGAGAAGAGTCCAGATGAGTGGAAGCGATTGTATAACAGCCAGATGGCTAAGGCACACATACATTTTTTCAAATAATCGCTTAGATTTGTTCTTCATTTATCTGATTAAAAGCCATTGAATTGAACAAAAAAGATCGGCAACTAACTATTTATATTTTCATTGCAACTGATAAATTGCGACATGAATTGATATATTGACTATTCTTAATTAATTTGAGTTTTTCTAGGTGGGGACTATCAAGGAACTGGCGCTGAAGTTGTGTACGGAGACCAAGTCTTGGAGGAAAGGCAAGGATCCCAAAAAAGAAAAGGTAACCTTTTTTAATCTTTATATTAAATATCCGCTTTCTTTTCAACTGAGTCTAAGACTCTTAGAAGCTGTCTTGGCGTCAAGATATGCTAGTTGTTCTGAGATGATCCATGATAACAAATGAGTTTTAAAGTAGCCCAAATATGGATTTGCTGGTTTCTCTTCATTCATCAGAACTGCCTTTAGCACAGAAATTGACGGCAAAGGAATCTCTCTTTTGAGAAGACTTCTGACTTTTTTGTGTAGATCAAAATAGAGGATCTGGAGAAGTTGTTGAATGACTTGGACTGTGCCACAGATGGGGAGCCGGGGGAGGTGGGGACTGAGAAGGCGGTGGAGGCGGCCAAAGACAAGGAGCGCCTCAAAAGCAAACTCAGCAAGACTTCCCTAGCTGTAGAGGCCGGCAAAAAAGGCAACAGTGGGCTAATGTTTTTTTTTTTAAATTTCAAATCAATCTTTTTCTGGACTAGGAAAAACAACCAAACAAGCTCAGTCGTCGCGAGAAGAAAGTCTTAACTTGGAGTTTTAAGTTTTTCTCATTTTCAAACAGAACATTTGTATTAAACTGGGCAATACTGAAGTGTTTTCATTCTTTCGTTCGAAGTTTTCATTATATAAATTTCGAGGTATACTTTTTTGATTCAAACTCTATAACCTTGTTTAAATCTCGTCTGATTGTATTTTTTTGTTGTTGTTTCAGAGTCAAGTGAGTATAAACTTATAATAATTTCTCTGATTTTTCAATTGATGCTTCTCACATGTGCAAAAAACTACTGACATTTTTGTTTACTTTTAATTGAACTGTAAGCATTAAATTTACAGTACTTTTAATTGAAAACACAAAAGCATAATGTTTAATGCAGTTGTTATAACTGATTTTTATTGTAGGTTTGATAAGGTTTTATGAGTTAGGGAGTGACCCAAAATAGCCGAAAAAAGAAAGTGACACTCAAATGTTTCCCATCCAACTCCCAAATCTTAACTCAAACTCTACTTTAAATGTAATTATGTTGCCATCCAATAGAAGCCGGCTCAAGTAAGTTACGTTTGATAAATTTCTCCATTTTTGTATTAATGCAAAAGTTATTCAAATTGGCATCTTGATTAAATCTAAAGGACTTCTCGCGTCTTCAAAACGATCATCTCAGTCTAAATCGAGTGAGTTTGTAAAATTGTAAAATTATCAATTGTATCAAAATGATTCATCCAACTCTCGACTGAATCTCTCACGCCCCGCTCCTCAAATTATGACTCGGAACTTTAAACAAAAAAACTAGCTAGGACACACAACCTGTCCCATCCCAACCATAGTGTGAAGAAATTGTGTGAAAAAAAATTTTATAAAAATTTGATGGCAAAAACATTTCTGACTGAAAGTAAGTTCGAACATTCCGCGATGTTTTCATAAATAGTTATCAATTAGCCTACTTTTCGAAATAATTGTTTTTTTTTTGCGACGTAGAGATGGGTAAGGGTTCCCAGATGGCGACTGTGGCTGAGGATGGATCCCAGCCAGCGGAGCAGAGTGAGAAACTGAAGGAGACAGCGGAGAAGAACGACATTCCAGAAGATGTTCTTGCAGTCCTACAGGCTGAGGTATTGTTACAACAAGAAAACTTTGGGCATGATTTAGGCTATTTATAGAAATACTTGATCAAGGAGATCAATAGTTGATAACAACGACAGAAGGAAATGTTCAAACTGTTCGTGTAAAGGTAACATATGACGCGTTAAGATATATTACCAGGGAGCGAATTGATACATCAATAAAACCTAGAATATAAGTTAATGCAAATGTAAAACAAAAATGCTCGTATCAGGGCGAAGCCCTGAATGTTTCAACTGCCATTTAAGATTTATAGAGCAGTAATTATGCCTAAAAAAATCAATGTAATAAAATCAAATTAATTCTCTAAAAATTTGAATTGTTTAATGAAAATCCTCCACCCACACGCCATATAAAGTACAAAAGGATAAATTTCGCTCCTTTTAAAAAATCAATTATGGCAAACAAGCTTCTTTCAACCAATTTGGAACGATTTCTAAGACGGATTAATTCTCCGCTTACGCGTTAATAGCGCGAATTATATCGCGCGTTAATTGTCCCAAATTGGTCAAAATGGCAATCTTCAAACCCTCATAACTTTACAAAAAATGATCACAGGTGAAAATTCTTTTCAAAATTAGGCTCAGCAAAAAAATTACCTTTCAAATTGTGTAAAAAATTTCTGTCAAAAATGGCTAGTTAAAAAGTCAAAATTTGACTGAAGAAAAAAAACCAGCCCGAGCACAAATATTCCGTTACCTTCGTATCGAAAATCGGGACAAAAATGAGCCAATGTGGAAAAAACCTGATGGACTTGCAAAATATAATACTAAATAAAGAAAAGACTGCTCGTATCAGGGCGAGGCCTTGAATGTTCCGACTGCCGTTTAAGGTTTATGGAGCAGTATTAACATTAAAAAATTCAATGAAATAAAACAAAAGAAATTTTTTTCCAAAATATGAAATTTTTTTCAAGAAAATCATCCCCCCACACGCCATATAAAGTACAAACGGATAGATTTTGCTACTTGTAACAAACCAATTATGGCAAATAAGCTTCTTTCAACCAATTTGGAACGATTTCTAAGACGGATTAACTCATCGCTTACGCGTTAATAGCGCGAAATATATCGCGCGTTAATTGTCCCAAATTGACCAAAATGGCAATCTTTAAACCCCCGTAACTTTACAAAAAATGATCACAGGTGAAATATCTTTTCAAATTTGAGCTCAGGAAAACAATACCTTTCAAATGATAAAAAAAAATTCCGTCAAAAAGTCGAAATTTTGACGGAATGATAGGGTATACAAGCGTTTTTCAAAATGGCTGATAGAGAGAAGCTCCTAGATCCGCGCTTGATTGAGAGGAGTCCATGTGAGTGTAGAAAAACAATTCCTCGTCTGCTTTTTTAAAACTTTCAGTAAAGATACAATCTCCTATTTTTTTGATACAGTCTAATTATGCGATTTGTCGAAAATCGCCCATTTTAGTTTGCGATCGGAGAACTTTTTTGGACTAATAATCGAGTTTTTTTCACTAGGCTATAAATAAACTGGTTGTATCAAAAGGAAATTTTGATTGTTCCGAAAGCCTTTTAATGCCGCTGAAACTGTTTTTGATTTTAAAAACTTCTTCAATTTTCCGAACAAAAACTCAAAAAAATTGGTAATTTTTATTTTTTTCTTCTCTTGACCAGATCGCTTGTCTGATATGCCAGCATATTTGTGGTGCATTAAAAATTAATGCTTGAAAAAAATTTTAGTTTCATGCACGTTCTTGTAAAAAAAATAAGCTCTTGCAATTTTTTAAGTTGTTTTGACCTGAAGTTTTCACGACTCTATGAAAAATTATTGTCTAAAAGATGACGAATCAAAACGAATTTAGTATTTTTGCCATCAAAAACTTAATTTTCGAAGAAGATGATGTGTACTTCAATTTAAGTTTATTTTTAAAGAAAGTTATAGAGCACTTCAAAAAATCGAATTCAACATTCTTATTTCATAAATCAAAGTGTTAGTGATATTTTCTCTAGACTATTTCCTTTAAAAACAGCCTTTGATTTAGTTTTTCAGTTACTTCCAGAATAGTTTCACTTCAACTCGCCGTTTTGACAACATTTTTTCCATCATCTGAAATCTACTTTTGTCTTGAGCACTAAATTAAAATTTTGTTTCTCTGCATATAGTTTTGTTCTGAAGTTATTAAAATCATGGGGATTTGAAATTTCTTAACCCGGAATTGGGATAATAAACGAGCAAGAAAACTACTCGTATCAGGGCGAGGCCCTTGAAGGTTCCGACTTCCGGATCTACTTAACAATCTCCCCCCTATTGTATCTACCACAGAATCTTCACCTCTGTAAATCAAAACAGTAAATTCGCACTAGAGCGTTGTATGAAGATTCGAATTTTGCTGCATTCTGATTGGTCGAAAATTCGCTGCAAGTAATCTACTTAACAATCTCCCCCCAACAAAAGATATTTAAAAATGCCGTCAAAAATAGCTAGTTAGAAAGTCAAAACTTGACTGAAGAAAAACAACCCACCCCGAGCACAAATATTCCGTTCAGGAGCGGATCTAGGATTTTCTCAAGAGGGCGGATTTTCAAAAAAAATTTCGAAAAATTTGTCGACGTTTTTTTAGGTTGATCAAATTGATTTTCTGAGCTCTCCCAAATCGCCAAAAAGGCCCTATTTTGACTAGGCAAAATTAAACAGGCCAAAAAAGCATTTTTAGGCAATATTTTTGAAAATTTTGACCAAAAAAGTTGCGTTTTTTGGCTAGCGCTCTCCCTTCAAAATTAATATGTATTGGCGCCGAGGGCGCCCTTAGAAAAATATTAAGGTCCGTCAGCCAAAAATGGATATTTCAGAACAGTACAAAGGGGGACCCTTTGGGTCAGCAGGGGGTCAATTCCCTGAGGGGGGAAGGCGTCCGCTTCCCCCAGCTCCCCCCTAAATCCGCCCTTGATTCCGTTACTTACGTTACGAAAGTCGGAGCAATAATTTCATGCTATTAACGAGTAAGCGGCAAAAGCCTCAAAAATTGTTCCAATTTGAATTGGGTTAGGCATGCTAGTTGCTCTAATTGATAGGTTGCTACTTCTTAAATCGCGTCCAGACAATTCGGCCGCAGACAATTCAGCCGATTTGAAAATCAGACAATTTAAGCAAAATGATTGAACTTTTGTGGTTTACTTTTAAAAACCAGTGGTTCGTTTTAGGTTTAAGGAATTGGTTCTGCGGATTGCTATTTTAATAAGAAAAATCGGTAGATCGTCTAACAAATCTCAGCAGTTTCTCAGCAGAAGTTTGACGGGCAATGCTGAAACCCTAATATATTTTGGAGAAATAAAGTTCGCACTTTTATTTTTTTATTTACAAATATTTTGGAATCATAGAAGCCAATGATAGGGTATACAAGCGTTTTTCAAAATGGCTGATAGAGAGAAGCTCCTAGATCCGCGCTTGATTGAGAGGAGTCCATGTGAGTGTAGAAAAACAATTCCTCGTCTGCTTTTTTAAAACTTTCAGTAAAGATACAATCTCCTATTTTTTTGATACAGTCTAATTATGCGATTTGTCGAAAATCGCCCATTTTAGTTTGCGATCGGAGAACTTTTTTGGACTAATAATCGAGTTTTTTCACTAGGCTATAAATAAACTGGTTGTATCAAAAGGAAATTTTGATTGTTCCGAAAGCCTTTTAATGCCGCTGAAACTGTTTTTGATTTTAAAAACTTCTTCAATTTTCCGAACAAAAACTCAAAAAAATTGGTAATTTTTATTTTTTTCTTCTCTTGACCAGATCGCTTGTCTGATATGCCAGCATATTTGTGGTGCATTAAAAATTAATGCTTGAAAAAAATTTTAGTTTCATGCACGTTCTTGTAAAAAAAAATAAGCTCTTGCAATTTTTTAAGTTGTTTTGACCTGAAGTTTTCACGACTCTATGAAAAATTATTGTCTAAAGATGACGAATCAAAACGAATTTAGTATTTTTGCCATCAAAAACTTAATTTTCGAAGAAGATGATGTGTACTTCAATTTAAGTTTATTTTTAAAGAAAGTTATAGAGCACTTCAAAAAATCGAATTCAACATTCTTATTTCATAAATCAAAGTGTTAGTGATATTTTCTCTAGACTATTTCCTTTAAAAACAGCCTTTGATTTAGTTTTTCAGTTACTTCCAGAATAGTTTCACTTCAACTCGCCGTTTTGACAACATTTTTTCCATCATCTGAAATCTACTTTTGTCTTGAGCACTAAATTAAAATTTTGTTTCTCTGCATATAGTTTTGTTCTGAAGTTATTAAAATCATGGGGATTTGAAATTTCTTAACCCGGAATTGGGATAATAAACGAGCAAGAAAACTACTCGTATCAGGGCGAGGCCCTTGAAGGTTCCGACTTCCGGATCTACTTAACAATCTCCCCCCTATTGTATCTACCACAGAATCTTCAACTCTGTAAATCAAAACAGTAAATTCGCACTAGAGCGTTGTATGAAGATTCGAATTTTGCTGCATTCTGATTGGTCGAAAATTCGCTGCAAGTAATCTACTTAACAATCTCCCCCCAACAAAAGATATTTAAAAATGCCGTCAAAAATAGCTAGTTAGAAAGTCAAAACTTGACTGAAGAAAAACAACCCACCCCGAGCACAAATATTCCGTTCAGGAGCGGATCTAGGATTTTCTCAAGAGGGCGGATTTTCAAAAAAAATTTCGAAAAATTTGTCGAAGTTTTTTTAGGTTGATCAAATTGATTTTCTGAGCTCTCCCAAATCGCCAAAAAGGCCCTATTTTGACTAGGCAAAATTAAACAGGCCAAAAAAGCATTTTTAGGCAATATTTTTGAAAATTTTGACCAAAAAAATTGCGTTTTTTGGCTAGCGCTCTCCCTTCAAAATTAATATGTTTTGGCGCCGAGGGCGCCCTTAGAAAAATATTAAGGTCCGTCAGCCAAAAATGGATATTTCAGAACAGTACAAAGGGGGACCCTTTGGGTCAGCAGGGGGTCAATTCCCTGAGGGGGGAAGGCGTCCGCTTCCCCCAGCTCCCCCCTAAATCCGCCCTTGATTCCGTTACTTACGTTACGAAAGTCGGAGCAATAATTTCATGCTATTAACGAGTAAGCGGCAAAAGCCTCAAAAATTGTTCCAATTTGAATTGGGTTAGGCATGCTAGTTGCTCTAATTGATAGGTTGCTACTTCTTAAATCGCGTCCAGACAATTCGGCCACAGACAATTCAGCCGATTTGAAAATCAGACAATTCAACCAAAAGTATGCAGACAATTCAGCCAAAGACAATTCAGCCAATAATATAGACTGCCGCAGTCGCGCCAACGTGTTGCGAGCTTGCCAACAGAGGATAGGACTCTATACGAAATTTAGAGCCAGTTATCGCCGCGAAGCGCGCATAGCGCGCCCACCGGCGACCTTAAACCAAGAAATAACCCCAGTTCCGATTTTTTTCCTTCGAATCTGGCGTCTTGTAAAACTGGCTGAATTGTCTCAGGCTGAATTGGCTGTATATTTTTGGCTGAATTGTCTGAATTTTAAATTGGCTGAAATGCTAGTTGTTCTAATTGATAGATTGCTAATTTTTAAATGCATAACTATTTCCTTTAAATGGCGTGTGCGAGATAGTTTTCCATATAATCCAATACAGTAGGAAGGGGTAATTTTGTGTGGTGGAATAATTTTCCAAAAAATTTCTAAATCTATCCCTGTGTGTGGGGATAATTTTTCAACGATAATTTAAAATTTTTTAATCAATTTTATAAATTCAAAAAGTTTTTTAGACAAGTCGTTACATTCACCGCTTTGCCGAGATAGTCTTTGTTTTACAGCAGTTTGTTTTTCAAATATAAAATTACGAAACAACTTTTTTGGCTCAGCTGCATGAAGATTCTTAAGTGATATGAAAAGTCACTGTCCACAATATGTTTTTATCTTGAAAAAAGATAATTTCGTACTAATATTTTTTAGACTAATTGCCTCTATACTGAGCTATGAGAAATAATACGACTGCCCTTAGTGGGCATCAGTAATGTACTAATTTTTTCAATAGAGTTTTTTAAGTCTACGATCAAGATATTACAAGCGATAAGCAATTCTCTATTCTGATTCTGATGTCGTTGCTGAACTAATCGAAAACCACGTATTATTTCTTGAGCATCACTTTCCAAAATTCGGCAACACATCGTGGCGACAATTTGAGATTCTTGTGAAGAAACATTCGCAAATTTCGTTTTCACAAATTGATTCAACTCTCTGACCTTTGACCCGATTTCAAAAACCAGTGGTTGGTTTTGGACTTTTGAATCGATATCGCCCCTTGCTAAATTACTACAAACTTGATAGACGAGTTGACAAATCTCAGCAGCGTTTGAATCAAATTCGGTTTTGATATTTGTCGACAGATTTTCTGGATTTTCCAATGAAGATGACCGACTGCTGCTTGAGGCTACCAGAAATGTTGACGAATCACCGCTTCCGATTCGCATTGAATTTATATCCGGCGTCAATTTTGATTGACTGTTTCCAATGTTGACGTTTTTGTAAATGTTTTTATTGTTTATTTTAAAAGGTAGCTGTTTCTCTTGTTTCATTAACCAATTGGAATCATCTATAGTTTGATTTAATGACATTTCCAATCGTTCGCGCAACAACTCAAACTCTTTCTCTGCAATTTGTTGGTCGTTTGCTGAGTTTTTCCCGGAATTCGGTCTGTTCTCACTTAGTTTATCAACACTAGTGCCCGCGTATTGTTCGTATAACAGTTTGAATTTCTGATTGAGGGTGGTGAAATTGGGCCGTTCGAATTCCTTCATTGCCCAGCACTGTTCTAAGGTGGCGTAGACATTCTTGGGACAGGTGTTGGGTCTGGCTAACTTCTGTCCGCCTTCAATGCACTCCACTATTTTCTGGTTCTTCATGCCCTAGAATTTAAGAGAACTTGGTTTTCATTTTGAACATTCAAAAAACCCTATTTCTAAATCTCATTGAGAAATAACCAGACTTTGCATATTGACCTTGGAAGAAAAATTCGTTTGCTTTCTTTCATAAAAAGGAGGACAAAAGACTGCTTTTAATTTTTTTTCGGAGAGAAATATTGCACAAAATTGATATATACCTTCAGAGTAGTTTTGCCAAAGTTTTTACTTGAAAAAATTTTCAAATCACGATTTTTTTATGATGATATGATGCGAAAAGAAATGTTAAACAACAATTAGGTTGGTGCGCAAAGAGCACAGAAAATTCAGGCCACAAACATAAGCAAATATTTAAAAAAAAACAGTTTCTTTTTTTTCAAGTTGTGTTGTTTTTTAATTGTGTTGTGAAAAAGAGAATCTAAGCGAAAGCCAAAAAATTTTTACTTTGCCCAAACAACTTGCATTTCAACCTAAGAATGCTTGAAAGAAGTTCATTAAACTCACGCGTGAAGTCATTGACAAACAGGTGTTTGGTTTTGCTACGTATATTGGCTTGAGAAAAGCATTAGACACTGTAAACCATGATAATATAATTGCAAAACTGGAATGTATTGTTTTTCTTTAAAAAATTTTGGACCTGGTAAAAATTTAGTTTGCTGGTAGATATAAATATGTCGAAATATATGGCAAAAAGTCTGAACACGAAGCAATTTCTTCTGGTGTTTGTGCTCAGTTTTAGGACCACTAATTCTGTAATTCAGTATTTCACTGAATTGACAATGTCTTGGAAATTCAGACTGTTTCATTTGCACAATACTATAATTTTCCATGCTAACAAACTGAAAAAAGATCTTTTGTTGAAAATATAAATTTTGCAAAAACTGGTTAAATAAGAACTGTTTAAACATAAACGATTCGAAATGCCAGATAAGAATTTTGGGAGGAAAAAATATGTCGAGTTCGGAAAAAATTGTCGCGTTGGCAACTGCTTAATCATCAAGGAGTTGATGTTCTGGTTGTAATGTTCTGGTTGATGTTCTGGTTGTAATGCCAGAACATGATTTTGGCTGATTTTGGATGATTTTGGATGATCAAGGAGTTGATGTTCTGGTTGTAATGCCAGAACATGATTTTGGCTGGAATAAGCTCCAAATAAGTTGGAAAACATTAGCGATTCATTGCTGCAAACATTTAGGTGTTTTGGCTAACAAAAATTAACTTTCCATTAACATGCTCAAAGAATTGTCGAAAAACAAGCAACACTTTTTTGGGTTGTTGACAAGAGTAGACATATTTTTTTGAAAAAAAAAAATCAAAAAATAGTTTTTGTAATTCCTACAATAGATGTGTTTATTTTGGTATAGTCGCATATACAAAAGTCACTTTGTAAAAATTTACAAAATGCAAAAAGAACAATTAGTGGATTTTTTTTCCAACGAAAAGTCAAATCCGTGCGCGAAATCATTATTGTTATCAGTATTATCAGTTTTTGGAAAATTTTGCTGTAAATTAGATGATATCCTGTTTAAATCAAGGATAGACGGAAAAAACATGAAAAAAAAATTGATTTTGAATCAAAAACGAAGACAAATCACACCCATAGTAGAATCAAAAAAGTTTTTGCATCTAATATTTGTCAGACTAATTATATGATGAAAACCCTGGAACGTTTTCTTTCCTTAGCATATATTTTTGGCGGAATAATTTGCAAAAGCCTGCAGGCATTGACAAAATGTGTATTACAGATTACCAGAATTTGTTAAAACTTTTTTCAAAAGTCACTTTGACGAAATTTACAAAATGCAAAAACAAATAATTAGTGGCATTTTTTTTTAAACGAAAAGTCAAATCAGTGCGTGAAGTAACAATTGAAAATTGTGTATTATCAAAAATGATTTGTTTTTCAATCAAGATCACTTCTTGTTTGAGAATTATTTCTTTCATTTTTCAGGTGTGCCACTTGTTGGTTCGTATTAACCTTTGGGAAATCTTCGGTTCAAACTTAAATGATTGTAATTTTTTATATTGTAGCCTAAATTAAATCAAATTTCAAACTTAAGCCTAAAAGTAAAGCAATATGATTTTTCAAAAATTCAGAAAACTTGTTTCACCTATAACAAATTTAATTTAAACAAAATTGCTGAGAGAATCTTAAGAATATTTTTCGCCAATTTAAAACTAATATTTCGAGTTGAATTTTTTCGATATAGACAAAACTCACAAAACTAGACTAGAAATCAAAAGTTTCAAATCGATTTTTCTCGATACTGAGAAAATGTTTTGAAATTTTTGTAGTTTACGTTCGAATGAGGGCTGAAAAGCTTCGAAATTATATGATGCTCAGTCCATTCCGATGAATGGGTACAACGAGACCTGATTTTTTTGCGGAAAAAATTTATTTCAAACTTCAAGCAAGCTTGCAAGTGTAATCATCTCAGTGATCTGAAAGAAGAACAGATTGTTATTTGTCCTACGTTGTCATCATTTGTTCGGTGAACTTAAAAAACAGCTTGTTTAAAATTAGCTGTTTTTCTAAGTGATTGGTATTAAATCAGTCCTAGATTGCTGACTATAATCCAGTGTACTTGGAAGGCAAATTCTTGTAAAGGAATGCTTTTATTGCAAGATTTTTGAAAAGAGAGTAAATTGAGATGTTTGTACCGGTGAACAAGATTTATTGTGATATTTTTGCAAGTTTTTGCAAGTTTTTGCGGTTGTAGACTACCGGTTTTTTTTCTTGAAAAATTTGTAACAATGGTAGGTAAAACAAAGGATGCAGTTGATCTGTTGGTTCGATGCTTGCTGAAGAGCACTACTCGAATTTGACGATTGTTTTGATTTTTATTGTGTGGAAAATAAATTCAAAATTCAACAAAGATAGCCGGTTCTTGTGCAAGTAGCGCATATTGTTCGGACCACATTCATCAAAAACTAAGAGAGGAAAGTGTCATGTTTTTGTGCGCGGTATGATGAGAAAAATGAGAAAACTATATAAAGGCGTAGAGAGTTTTAAAAAATAAGGCATAATTGACAGTAGTTGTTATCAAAAAATATATGACAAACAAAAAATGAAGAAATTTTTCAGAAAAAATTATATAAAATTTTTTCAAGTTTTTTTGTGGATTAATTTTTTTTTATTAAAAAAAAACATTTGATTGCCAAGGAAGCGCTAAATGAAGCCTCTTAAATTGTTAGGGTTGTTTGTAGTACCCTGTGATTGGTTGAAAAAAATAATTATCACCCTAAGTCAAAGTTCCTCTCCATTTTCAATGGTCGGAGCAAACAGAGTGCCGAACATCAGTTGTGTGGCTTACCTGGTATGGTTTGACCCCGAACATGAATATCTCCCAGCAGCAGACTGCGAACATCCACACGTCTGAGGCGGAGGTGAAGCGACGGTAGAAAATGGACTCGGGAGCCATCCACTTGATCGGCATCTTCCCTACAGGCAGTCAACAAACTTAAAATCAACAATAAAAAGAGTTACAAATATTTGAAAAACTCCCAGATATGCTCTTAATAGGTAGAATTACGCATGCATGTCATAATGTTTACTTTTTGAAGTGTGCCATTACCTTTACCATTTGAGTTTTGGCTCCGTGTTCCATTCTGCTTTAAAATTATCAAAAAATTATCAGAAAAATATCAAAAAATATGTGCAATGGCAACGGTGGATCAAGTATTTTTTTAAGAAGGAATTTTCAAAAAATTATTTCCATCAATTCGATGTGAATTTTATGCGATATACTTTAAAATTGAAAATAAAACATGCGTGGTTACCTTTGGATCTCGCTCGGTAGTAATTGTGATCTTGCATCAGCCTTGAAAGCCCAAAGTCGGCTAATTTAACGAGCTCAAAATTGAATACGAGACAGTTACGAGCAGCTATGTCTCGATGCACGACTTGTTTTGATGCCAGATATTCCAGGGCGTTCGCTATTTGATAGCAATACAGCAAGAGGTTATCCAGCTGAAGTTTCATCTGGTTTTGCTGCAAAAATGATCTCAATTCGCCGTGTTCGGCTATTTCCATAATTAGGCTAATTGGCTGTGTTTGTGATACGACCCCCAATAGGCGTATGATGTGGGGGTGTGAAAACTTTCGCATCGTCATTGCCTCCAGGAAGAAATGATCTTGAGCAGAATGTTCGACTTTAGTCAGCATTTTGATTGCGACTTTGGTTACCGTTCCGGTCATCGGCGACCGGATGGATCCCTGGAAGACTTTCCCAAATTGACCTTCGCCGAGTTCCCGAATGATCGTAAGCTGTTCTTTGGGAACCTCGATTGCCCGGAGACATTGGAAACTGTCCATTAGAGCTAAATGAAGAAATTTATACAAATAACTTGCAGTAAGCTGGGTAAATAAGTTATTCAGTGGGTTGGAGTAAACAAATGGTTCCGCGAGAATTGACCGCTAGAATAAAATAAATCAATAAAACCGCTTCCCTAAAAATATCCCACCTCAGACGTATTTATTTCTTAATAAATGCTATTAAGCTTCAATAAAAACAAGAACACTAAATGAAGAAAAAATTATACATTTCAAAATCGATGATCTATTCATTCGTTTCAGACATTGCAAGTTTGAACGTTCTTTTATATTTTGACTTGAGTCTAGAGGGTTTTATTTTGATAGGTTTTATTAGATTTAATTATACCAGTGAGTAATAACTTATAACTCAAAAGTGCAGTAAATATATGGATCAATCTAGGCCTTAACAAAGGTGTTTTCAATCAGTTCTGAAGGGATTTTGTACCCTTAAAAGTAACCGTCTGTTTATTTGCTTTCGACATTTTATAAGGATTAATTTTATCCCGATCCGTTGCAAAGTTAGATCTTTGAAAGCTCCTTTACTTCGAAACTAAATTTCAAGAAACAAAGGATTTGACTTAAGATTTAGTGATATATAAATCCTAGCTTTTGATAACCGTTTTAGTACATGAGGTTTCAAGTTAACTGAACTTAAATTGCACAAAAGAGCATAAAAGTAATGCCATTGTTTGTTTTGGTTACTTTCGTAGTCTTCATTTGAAAAGCCCTTTCAAGAGGCTATAAAACTGACAATTGTGTCAATTAATGTTTGACCAGTTTGAAGCAGTTGTAAATTCGGTCAGCATTCAAGTCAAGTTAACGAGTCTGAGTTTTGTTCTTAAATCTTCCCAATTAAAATTTCTGTAGCGATCGGGAGATTTATTGCCCTGACTTTTGAAGTGAGTGACGGAATATTTGTGCTCGGGGCGGTTTTTTCTCTGAACAAAGTTTGAACTTTTAACTTTCAATTTTTTATGGAGTTTTTTAGTATTCGGAAACGATTCAGTGCAAGAGTGCCAAAGTAAAAAATTGCACTTTAACAAAACAATAAGGAAAAACAAACAACGGAAACTGATAAACTACTCCAATAATTAACAAAACTGTCCGCTTGAAAATTCTCATAGTGAAAATTTTATAAGAATCATCATTTTCAGCACTCGTGAACATTATTTCCATAATTGAACATTAGGCGAAAAAGGATGGCTTTGTACTCATTGCGTGCGTTTGATGATATTGGAAAACTTTTGGTTATCATTTTTTTGATTTTTTTCTACTTTAAGTCATAACTGCATCAGAAACATAAAGAGCAGCCTAAGCAATCAAGATTTCACCCTGATACAAGAAAAACTTAGATTCTTATCTACAGAGCTGAAAGTTATATTACTTAGCAACTTCAGGCAAATCATTTTTTCAATTGACATTTGCTAAAAAATTATATCAAATGACTTTAATTGTTCAAATTACTGCGAAGAAATTGCTACAGGCCACATTTGTGAAAAAAGTGAAACTTTTTTGCGTTCTCAGTCCTAAAAACGTTCTATTGCTTTAAGACAATTTTACAGGTTCCTTAAGTGTTGGCGTTGATAAAAGCTTAAAGAATTCATTATTTTGATTTTTGTTTTTACAACCAACAACATATCTCAAACAAGTTTTAAGAGTCATGTCTCCAAAATAAATTCAGTAAAAAAGCAACCGGCCTTTTAAAACTTGCATTTGAAACTGTCAACACCTCAAAAAAAGTACCCAGTAATATATCGAAGGAACTCGATAGACGCGCCGCTACTCAAGAAATATGAGATTTTTTTTAATAGGAGACCTAAGAAATATTCAAAGCGCAAAGTTTCTTTTGTAACAATAGAAAACGTTTGTTTTCTGATATTTGGCGTTCGATTGAAATCGAAAACAAAATGTGTAAATTTGAGACATCCAAACAAAAAGGATGCATTATAAAAGAGAGAACAAATATAAATAACCTTTTAAATATCGAGTTTTGAAGTTAATAAAAATGGCAAAAACAATAAATTTTCGGGTAAATTAAGTGCTAGTCAAACAACTTACTAGTCAAATAAATTAGCGCGAAATACTTTCCTATTTTTATCAAATTAAAAAATCATATATAAAATACTACAAATGAAAATTCTTATTTTGGATTCTCGTCACTGACATTTTTTCATTATATGGAATTGTAAGGATGGTTTTTTCTAATGCACAACAGATTGGCAGGTTTTTTGAAGTTTTCTAGGGCTTTTTCAAGTTTCGTTTCCAACAAATTTCTTTTACAAACATAGTATCTTGGAAAGTTTTCACACATAACTAAAAATAGCATTTGTAATCTCTTTTAATTGGTTTGTTTTGATAAAAACTCGAAATTAGAAAGAGCATAATTGTTGGATTATTTATTGCGCAATTTGTTTTATTTTAATTTTGCTTTAATTTTGCTTTAATTTTGTTTTATTTTGTTTTATTGTAATTTGCTAACTTCTGACAGTTCTGTGTTTTGCAAATTTACTGTCTTAGCTTTCCTAACCGTTAATATGCTAGTGGTACTGTTATTACTCTAAATTCTATAGCTATTTCTTCAAATTTTTCGTCTGCAAGTTCTTTTTAGCAGTCATTGCTTGGATTTTTGTTCCGACTTTTGTAACAAAACTAACGGGATATTTGTGCTCGAGGTGGTTTTTTTTTTCTTCAGACAAATTTCGACTTTTTAACTAGCAATTTTTGACAAAATTTTTTTATCATTCAAAAAGCATTGTTGTCCTGAGCTGAAATTCGAAAAGATATTTCATCTGTGATCATTTTTTGTAAAATTATTGGGGTTAAAAGTTGCCATTTCGACCAATTTGGGACAATTTATGCGTAAGCGGAGATTTAGTTCGTCTTAGAAAATATCCAAATTGGTTGAAGGAAGCTTATTTGCCATAATTGATTTGTTACTAGGAGCAAAGTTTATCGCTTTGTAATTTATGTCGCTTGTGGGGGAATGGTTTTCTCAAAAAAATCTCAAATTAAAAAGAAATCAATTTATTTTACTATTTTTAACTTTTTGATGTTATTACCACTCCATAGACCTTTAAAGGCGGTCGGAACATTCAGGGCTGAGCCTTGATACGAGCAGTCTTGATTATTTTTTAGATTGACCTAAGAGTGTGTATCTTTGCGTTTGGTTTCGTTTCTTACTCTACTCCTCTTTTACGATTTAAGAAAATGGTTGATATTTTAATTAATGATACATTTTATTTGATCTACAGTTCCGGAAAAAAAGTAAAAACGGACAAAAAATCAAATACCGTGGTTTCTATGTTTCTTTTGCAGTTCAGTATCATCAAATGATTTGATACGAAGGCATATTTTATTTGAAACTTTCTGAAGCACTGCAGTTGAGATAATTGTTGATCAAATAGAAGCACTTCCAATGAAACGCGGAATTTTTCGCTTTGAATTTTAGTGATTCGTTTTTAAGCAATGAAATCAAAAACTAGAAAGAAGCATCAAGTATCAGTACTGAATAAAATTGAAAAATGGTTGTTAACTAATTTGCTCGGTCTCTTCATTAGCTACCTCGATGAAACAAAAAATATATCTAAGCCCGCAATTTTAAGTAAGATATCAAACCTGTGGGGTGAGTGAAAAATTCAAAAACTAACTCGGACGCTAAATTATTGAAAAAGCATTCTTCACCTAGAAAAATGGCAACTCAAAAATTATCAAGTCAAAAAAGAATTGGACTCAAAAAACATGATCAAGTTCTAAACAATGTCACAGAAACGGAAGTCTAAGAAAAGTAGGTCACCAAATTATCAAGGCCTTGAAAAATAAACAAAAATGCCCTTTCATATGAAGTAAAGTGGAACAAAATTTTAACTGCATTATAAAGTTCAAATTCAACTAACTATTTTTTGGTTGCGCAAATTTCAGCCGAAAACGAGTAGCAGAGGAGTATTCAGATTATTCTCGGAAGCAGCGTTCGTTTCAATTTCAGCGATGAAAAAAGTAATGACACCGATCAATACGTAAAATGTAACGCAATTTCTCTGTTGTTCAGACCAATCTCAAAAAATATAGATACATATCATTAAAAAAACTGATTTTTTTTTGAAAAAAATAAAAATTTTCCCTAATGCTCAATTTTCAGTACAATATTAGGCGTGATTGGCAGATTCTGCGCTAGTTGCTCAACGAAATTAAATGGCTTCATAATCAGTTATATAAATATGAACAAAAACAAACATCGCGAAATTCGAACATAATCATCTTTACAGATATTTTGAAGCATTACTTAACTAACCATCAAAATCCGTTTCGCGGTTAACTAGTGATAGGCGAGGGGAGGCAAGCCAAAATGAGTAAAGACATGTGAAGTGATTAGTTTTGAAATGAATGGGATAATAAATTTAAAAGATCAGATAATGTGAAAACGTTGAACCAAAAAATTAGAGATTTGATCAAAATCAAGAATTTGTGATAAACTGCGAGATCAGACAAGATTTCAAAACTTAATTACCTGCCATTTCAAATGATCTAACTACAGATTTCTAACGTGAGCTGGAACACAATAAAAATAGGGTAGAGGAACACATTTTTCTAGGGCTGACCAAATAACTCAGGTTCAACCACTTGTCTAAAACAGACTTTGGGGTTATTACGCAAATCTAGTGGGGAAATTTGACGTTCACAAGGAAATTGCCGACCGATTTAAACTGGGAAGAGTGAACGAAATTGGTTGGTGAAGAATCTTCACATGGTTTGGCTGAACAAATTGAGTTTCCAACCGAGAGTCAAATGCATGACCATGCTACTAGACATGCAGTTTAAAGTACTGTATGGGATTAAAAGTTGGTTTAGTCCTTGGTTTACTAAGTATGGTACGTGACTTCTTTTACTAAGTGTTTATACAGTGAAGTCAATTGCAGTTTACTGAGAAGTGTTCGCTGTTTTGACAAACGTAGGGGGAAAACTGAAGAATTTTAACCAGCTTTAGACAAAACAAACCGGCTCAGTTAGTTTTTTTAATTGAAAAAGTTTGTCACAAATTTGGGCTAAATTAGGTAATACATATGGTTTTCACTAACCGTGTTATCAGCTTTCAAATAACAGTACAAATTAATTGGGCGAATATCCAGACTTTTTCCTTCAGCTGGATTTCACTGAGAATTTAAATTCTTGATGATTTATCGGTAAGACAAACAAAAATTCCAATTAAACGCCAGAAGCAATTTAAACTCGTCAAATAGTCATCAAACCATATAGTCGTAAAATGAATTAAAATCAGAGATTTTTACTGTTTTTTCGGTTACACAATTCTGATAGAACAAACAAAACAAGCAATGCAAGCTTACTTATTACCAAATTTATAATTGAAAAAATGCGAAGAATTTGCTGACTAATTTTTCGTTATTTGGTATTCTATTCATCATCAAGAGCATGAAAACTATTTGAGAGAATTGCTCGTCAACCGTATATCTTTTGCTTAACTTCTAAATAAAGGAAACTTATCCAAAACAAAGCTAAAATTAGGGGAAACTACTGTGGTTGTTCGTAGCTTCGAAAAAAAAAATTAAGTTAGCACTGTGGTTGTTCATAGCTTTGAAAAAAAATAAATTAGCAAGTGTTTTTTATCAGAGTAAAAATGATGCCCGAAACAATTCATCTCGTTCTGTTTTCCACATTCAAACTTTATACCTACTTTTGTTTAAGAAAAGCTTTATCAAAATTTGGAGTTAGGATTTTTCAATTTATGCTTAGAGCCATTTTAATGCTGCAGCCCCAGTCTAAAATGGTGACAAAAAATAATTCAATACCCGTCTTTTTTCATCTGGAATTTAGATACTTTCTGGAAAAACCATTTTTTTTACTTGCTATCGACTCATCCTCGAATATTTGTAATGCCTCGTGGTGTGGCCAAAGAAGGTGATTTCACAAAGAGATTAAGAATGTGTTGCTCCGACCGCATTTTTATTTGCAATTTAAATCATAATTTTTTTTTGCTTTTCTGTGTTCTTTTTTTATAAAGGGATAAAAGATGGAAAAAGTGTAGCTCCGGAAACTACTCAATGAAACTTTTTGGTATATGTTATTTTTGAAAATTACATTATTCTGTGATACTAGGATGAAAAATAACACGTTTTCCAGACATGATTGAAAGTAAAGACATTCAGACCGTGTTTTATCGGCAAACTACTCAAATAAAATTATATTTTTTGCTCAATTATAAGAAATTTGAAGAAAAAACGAAAAAATACAATTTTTTATCCTTTCAGAAAAGCTAATGGTTTTTAAATGGACAGGATTTGCTGTCTAAGTTTGTACTGTACACGCAGGGGCGGATCAAAAATTTTCTTGAGGGGGGGGGCGTATTTTCGAAAAGTTTGTCACCTTTTTTTATATAGGTCGGCTAAATTGATTTTCCGAGCTCTCCCAAATCATTAAAGAAGCCTTGTTTCTGCCATTTTTTGCGCCAGTCGTATTTATGAAAAACAGGCCAAAAGGGCGTTTTGAGGCGCTTTTTGGACAATATTGACCCAGAAGGTGTGTTTTTTTGGCGAGCGCTCCCCCCTCAAAAATAGTAATTTTTGGCGCCAAAAGCGCCCTTAGAAAAAAATAAAGTCATTTAGTCAAAAATGTAGGTCTTAAAATGGTACCAAAGAGGGTCTTTTTTGGTAATCAGGGGATCGAATCCCTGAGGGGTAGCGCGTATAGATCATTTGATTGCTAAGCTAGTAAGGAAGACGGTTCGGTTCACGGTTTTTTCTATCTAAACTGAAGCACATAAACGTACCAAAATAAATTTTTAATTGTGGAATAATCAATTTATCATACCGCTTTTGTCGGTTTTCCAGCTAATTAAAAATTGCTGGGTTGGGTGGACCTGGGAATTTTTGAAGCAATTTAAAAAACAACAGGCCAAAAAATGATCAAAAATCTGGTTTTTTCGAGGAGCGCTCCATCTTCAAACTTAGTATATATTGGCGCCACAAGCAGCTTTAGAAACATTAAGGGTCATTCAGCCAAAAATGGAGGTCTTAAAATACTGCCAAGGGGGGACCTTTGGATAGTCAGGGGGTCGAATCCGTGAGGAAGCAACGTAAAACCCCCCTTAAACCCCCCCTGTGAACACGAGTCACCAACCCACCAATTAATACCTGCATTTTACTCATTAGGCCCTAAACTGACTCATGTGAACACCTCTCCATATCGATCAAGCGAACTCTCCCCATCAATCAAATAAGAAGACGAAATCAACAATTTATTGGACAGAACTCGTTAATATGCAGACAAATATTATCGAAACAGTTATGGGCAAAGTTGTCGGGCTGACAACAATCCAAGTTCTGTAAGACCAGCGAGGAAAAATTGTTTATTGTCCAAATTTTTGAGAACAATCGGCTATTTAAGCTGTCAAATTATTCCTCATTTTCACAATTTCATTTACTTTCTTTCTCTCAAAATAGCTACATTCTAATTTGTTGAACGTTAGCATCGTTCATAGTGCAAAAAAAGCGAAATAACTAAGTGAACTTGATCCCCTCAAATTGTTCGGGGAGATTGCTCATCATGTCCTTTTAACTTGAAGAATACAAAATTTGCTTTATATTTACTACGCTATTTTTAAAACTTTATGGACAAGCAAAAAAAAAATCAGCAAAAACTACATAAGAGCACTCACTGCGTTCATGATTCTTATGCAAGAAACACAAACTGAAACTACCAAATTGTATATTAAAAAACGAGAAATTAGTTAACTTTACAAACAAACAAAAAAATATCTCTCCATTAACTGTCAGTTGCGTTTGCATGATATTTAAAATTACCAATATAATTTATCAATAATACGCTAATAGAGGCTGTCATTTTTGCAGTCATTGTGCTCCCTAACTAGATGCATTGAACTTGAATATTCTACAATCTACGACCTTTAAATCGTCTTTCGAAAACCTTGCCCAATTAATTCCATTAAAAAACGAAAAAAGGCACGATATCTTCTCTGGAATTCGACATCGCTCTTAAAGTTCACGTTCCCTGGTTAATTTTCCAGTTTTTTGCAGAAGGAGAACCCTTGTTTTAATTAGTTAAATTGTTACAACACTCGATTAAGTGTAATCTTGCTTAACAGTTTGCACCTACTTCAACTGGAGGACAAAGAGAAAACTGAAAGACACACCGAGGCCAAGCGGAGCTCCAAATCTTTTGCGAAACAACACAAAAAAAAATTTGAGTCGAAAAAACTAGGTTTACAAAAATGAAAGTTTTCGTAGTCCTCAGTAGAAGTTCATTTTAGGCAAATATGCCAGACATTCGATATTAAATTAGCAGCAGAAAAAAACTTTCCAAGGGGAAACAAAGCCGAGAATTTTGAGCAGACACGAGCCAAGCCAAAAAAAAGTACTTAAAAAATTCTAGCCTTTCTGAAACTACATTGAACAACACTTGCAACTTCAATAAAAGTTGCTTCCAGAACAAGAAAATCCGTATCAATGATAAAGCAACTAAGTCGACAATCTTTGAGCAGTCAAAATTTCAGCTGAAAAAATTAAACTTGAACAACACTTGCACTCGCAATTACAATGAAAGCTGCTTACAGTACAAGCGAAATCCGTGATATGCCAACCAAGCCGAAAAAACTTTAGCAGACAAAAGAGAGTCCGACAATTCAATTTTAACCGGAACAAAGTTTCAATTGCATACATCATGAAAAAAAAATACAAGGTCCAGCTGGGACTCAAACCCCTGACTTTAGGATGGAAAGGTATCGGCGTTATGTCTAGGCCAACTCAAAACGAACCTGAAAGTAAGATTTGTAAGAAAATTTCTTAACGGGAAAAAAATTCGTTCACGATTACAAGACACTTGCTTTCGCAAGTATATAAACATTTTAAGTCAATCATGATTACTTCTATCGAGGGCGCTCTATTGCACCGAAATACATCAGCGAACGTAAAAATTTATTTTCAGTGTTGGAAACTAATGATATTCGAATGTTCTGAATGCAGTTTGAGAATTAAACGCAATTTCGCGTGAATAATGTTTTGCTTAGAAGCAAAATCGAGAAGAAGTTTGACAAATCCAGTTTTGATTGTTCGATCCCAATTCAACTATGTTTTAATTTTTGTACAAGACATCCAAACTTTTGAAAAAATCCAACTCCTCCTCGATAGAAGTAATCCTGATTGACTTTAAAATGTTTATATACTTGCGAAAGCAAGTGTCTTGTAATCGTGAACGAATTTTTTTCCCGTTAAGAAATTTTCTTACAAATTTCTTAACGGGAAAAAAATTAGTTCACGATTACAAGACACTTGCTTTCGCAAGTATATTAACATTTGAAAGTCAATCAGGATTACTTCTATCGAGGGCGCTCTATTGCACCGAAATACATCAGCGAACGTAAAAATTTATTTTCAGTGTTGGAAGCTAATGATATTCGAATGTTCTGAATGCAGTTTGAGAATTAAACGCAATTTCGCGTGAATAATGTTTTGCTTAGAAGCAAAATCGAGAAGAAGTTTGACAAATCCAGTTTTGATTGTTCGACCCCAATTCAACTATGTTTTAATTTTTGTACAAGACATCCAAACTTTTAGAAAAATCCCGTCACAAATGGCTTTTTAAAAAACCGACCTTCATGCAACCTTCTTTCTTTGACAGCCGGAAGAACAACAAAAAATTAACTTGGAAAACCTTTCAAAAGAAACAGACAGCTAAATAAAGGTGAACGTAAAATTTTTTTTAAATTCCCTTTCGAAGTTTCTTTTTCAAATACCTAAGAAAAAAATGACATGGAAGCTCTTAAACTCAAGAACTTTTTATGACTGACATTTTTTTTGCTTAATTTGCACCAATTTGATAAAACTGGATGAATAGGAGAAAATAGTTCGCCGAAAAAGCTAACATCGCAAATAGACAATTGAGAAAAAAAGTCAATGAACGCAAGTTCTGATTTTCTAGTTTTTTGACAACTTTTTTGACAACATTAACCCGATTTGAGAAAACTGGATCAATTTGACAATTTTGTATTTCGCTGGGAAATCTGAAAATTAAATTCCATTTTTGAAACTAGAAGTCGATGGTTCTTTTTGTGACCTTTATACTTATGCTGTTCGAGTGGAGTTTTCCTCCTTTCGACAGAAGAAATTTACTGCACTTAAAAAATTTAAAATTCAAACCGCAAAAAAATCATTTTTAGGCCTGAAAAAAAATCAAGACATGAGTATTCACTACGTTCATGACTCTTAAAAATGATATTCCACTTTCGAAACAAAGTATTTCACGTTTGTTTGCACCATTTCATTTTTTAGATGGAGAGCGCTGTTTGCCTTCCTTTTAGCAAATGAATTTGAATTGAACTTAAGGCACGAAATAATATACTCGAATCCGAAATAGTTATGAACTAACTTTTCAGATTTTTCCTGAAAAAAAAACAAAAACGGCAATAATCTACTATTTCTGAATGTCACTTTCTTTTTCTCGAGGGGCCGGATTACTTATCAAAATATCATTTTGGGCTTGATTTTCGAAGCACTTCAATTATAACTTTTAACAAAAATAATAGATTAAATTTGATTCGATTCTATTTTAAATGTACACAGAAAATGAAGATGAAAGAGGCATTAGCATGTGCACAGAGAGTGCGCACAGAAAATGAAAATGAGTGAATGATATTACAATGAATATACTATGTTTTTACAGTTTGGCTTGTACGCTATTCGGTATAACCAAGTCAGAAAACTCCTTCGAGTCAGCTTTTCCTTTTCCGATTTCTCTGAACAGTTGAATAACAATCTCTGAGTGGTCTGCATATAAACAGTTTATGTCAAAATCGGCATCTAAGTCCACCCACTGAGCGCCCACAGCGTCGTCTCCTGCCTGCAATTTGCGGCCGAGGTCGTCTTCGGTGGCGAAATGAAACCAGAAGGCTTGCGTTTCCATCCACGCATTGTCCGTATTTCGAGGGTCATCCACCACCTTCGAGATGATCTGCAGAAAAAAAAACATGATTCAAGCTTTGGGAAAGAATAGCGAGACTTCATATAAGCAGGAATTAACTTCGATTACATAGATCAAACTATGCTGTGTTCAAAAGCATAGAAGCTCTATTGCAGTGCACTTGCTAAGTTTGGATATTGTTTTGCCTCATTCGCAGAAAAACATGCGCTGTAGTTATTCCGAAATTTATGGTGTCAAGAGTAAAGGAAAGTTAAAGCTACAATTTCTTATTTTTAAAACTCACTAGTGGCCGGCAATTAAGTTAGCCAATCAGGATTCAGTATTCATAACGTTGATTGGTTCAAAATCTTTGTGATTATGGTCCTTTGGACATGAGGATTCATACTCACAGGTTCCTCCATCTGTTTGTGCTGTACGAATCTCTTCACAATCTCCGCCCTCCGCTTTTTCTTCTCCTGGGGTGACAGGGCACCAGTTTCATCTCCCTCGATCGCCTCCTCACAGAACTCCCTGATAGCAGTGCCCGACAACTCATTCTCCCCAGGGTCCACCATACCCTGCAAAGAAGACACTTCTGTTGAATCGATCATCTTCCGCAAAATTATGCCAGCACGAATCGTTAAAAGTCAATATGTATGAATGCACATCTGTAGTTATTACACACTTTAAGAGTTCCTGAAAAAAAAATCAGTAAGACCTATATAAGAGTCATCACTACACTACGTCATTACTCTTAAAAACTGATTTGGACGTTAAGAACAATATTCAAATTTTGAAAAATTTTCCAAGCTCGTCTTCCCGCCTCTATTGAATGCATTGACGCAAGCATTCTCAGTTTGTCAAAACCTCCTGGTCCAGTTCACTTAAAAGTTAATTACACGTTAAGTTAATTACTACTGATTGTGGCCTCTGGAAATAACAATCGGATCGAAAACCCTCGGACCAATCGAACTTCAAATGAGGGGTTTCTGACGGGTTCTATTAGTAGCAAACTTACTCCCGGGAGAGCAAACTCTTTCGTGTCTTGTCTGGAGATGAGAGCCAGCTTCAGAGTCTTAGGACCACTTTTTGTGGAGAAACTGTAACATCATACAAAATTCATGACTCATCGTTATAGAAGAGACAATAATATGCTGGTAAAAAGTACATGTACACTTGAACCATTAAAAAAAAAACTTTTTTTCACAGTGAGTACCCAAACCTAAATAAGGAGAATTTAGGGTAGGGCGGGGCATTCGATTCCTCACCCACGCAACTGGTATCCTTTTGGTACTATTTTACCAAAATTTGGAAAATTTGCGCTAAAACTTTTCCAATGGTGCCAATATACCTTAAATTTGTGAGGTGAACCATGCAAAAACGCCTTAAAAGGTCATTTTGTGAGGTCATTAATGTTTTAGTTCCAATTTTTTTTTGAAAAAAAAACCACCACCTCGAAAAAACTCTTTATGCGCGCCTGCTAATACTAAAACTAATTTTCAACGTTATTCAATTCCAGATTGTCAACGTGGTGATTCCACTCACCAGGTGACAACTGGATCGGCCGCATGGTTGGGTCCATATTTGCCCAACAGTCCCCTGCCCACCATGCCAGTGCGCCCACTTGGGTTCAGAGGAGCCCCTGTGATCGGATCAAGCTGATAAGTGCCTAGATACGAGATTCTGTTCACTTCTGTGGTCTTGTCAGGCTGAAAGATAGAGGTTATTGAAACTAAATGGTAGTTTGTTAAACTACTAAAACATTTCTTTTGACCTTGTCTACTTACACCGTGCATTGGATGATAAGGAACTTTTGCCCTGTCATTGAACTTGAAGTACATATCCCTGTCATTCCTATAAAGTTAAATTGCAATTTTTCATTTGCCAGAAAAACATTCAAACATAATGGAGCGCATTCATATATTGATACTCATGTATGTTTTTTGCGGAACAGTTGATTTCCAGCAACAAATGCTCAATAGTTATACTGCTATCATTCAATCATGGCTACTAAATAATTGCTAGCATCTTCTCAAATCACTATAATCACTACATTGTTGCAAAAAATACAGGCCTCAGACGAAAATTTACACGAAACCACGACTGTGACTTACATTGTCATTCCTAGTAGTTCTGGGTCAGCCCATATGGGGGGATAGTACAGCATGTTCTTCTCATACCCCCCGTCCGCCTTCACCTTCTCCATCAAATTGAACTTCTGCTGCATTGTGTCACGCGGCTTCGTGAACAACTCCTGCGCACTATACAGTATGGGCGCATAACCTGGGTACTCCAACTGTAAGAAAAGGCACATTAGCCAGGCGACAGATGTATTTGGATTATTTAACCCGATTATTAAAAGTCTTGGAAGCACTAGGCTAAGATATTGTTGAGTACTCTGAATTAGGAGCCATCATCATCCACTGAAGGAAGAAATGATGAGCCAACAAGGACAACTTTTAGGTTGAGTATTTAGCTTTTTAGCATGAAAATTTGTCAATTGCGTTCGTGGTTTGAGATATTGTTTTGCAATTATGGGATCAATATACCGTTTTCGTGATAAAATGTTGCAAGGCTTTGTGGCTGTAGTGCTGTACTAGAATTGAAATGCCAATTAAGTTTAATTATGAACAAGAATGAACACGACGGAACCGATGCGGAACAATGTATGTACCTGCCACGACTTTTTCTCCTTTGGCACTGGATATCTGGCCAGATACTTGCTGTTCTTCAGAAGCACTGGTTTAGGGTACTCGTCCATAACCACTATTTCATCCTGCTCCTCCCTCGCTTTTTTGCTCCCCCCTGACATACCTGAGCAGAAAAAAAACGAGAAATAGAACTGAGACCCCATTGGAACTTGCTAACTATTTTAGGGGACAATAAGGGGGGGGGGGATGAAAGTTACAGAATTGCGTAAATCAAAACACGGAAAAGCGCTCGAACTTAATAACAAGTATACGTAGATATATAACAGTACGTAACTTATAACAGTAAATAACTTGCCATTTCTTCTCTTATTCGAGCACTTCGAAACATGAACATAAAATAGATCCAAAACTATTCCATCTCCTAGCAAGCTAAATTTGGGTGAGTGAATACAACAGAAAAGCATAACGAAAATCGTTTTATCGCAAGGCGACTAGATTATAATTGAGTTATATCAACTACTCGAGAATTTCGAGGAGCTGATTCAGACTTATGTTTCAAAAATATCTTTTATGAGAAAAAAATACAAGCCTTTAATTTTTCTGCAGTAATTTCCCATCGTAAAATTAGGAGCAAAATTGCAAATTAACGAAATTTAATCACACGGTTTCAAATTGTTCACGAAAAAGAGCTTTAACTTGGTCGCGTACGAACATCATAAAAATGACTTGAATCAAAATTTGCTTCCGTTCAGTTTTTGAACCTGAATATCATTTTAAAATTTACATACCAAGGACTGAAAATAGACATAGTGTTTAATCTAAAACGAAAGGTATGCAGATGATTTATCATTGATTTGTGCTCGACCGTATCACTTTAAAAAATCAGCTTCTTGGATAGTTTGATAAAATTAAGTCAAAATTGAAAGATAAGTTTTCAGCTTTTCGAAATCATTGACCAAAAAGTTAATTTTTTTGCACGAAATCAAAGGCAAGTCCTCAAATTAAATTGTGAAACATAAGAAAAACTTTTTATTCGCAAACAACCAATTTGGAAGCTTTTTGATGACTAAAATTCTTGATATTGCGGTTTCAATCTCACTGAGGAATCTTTCCTTCTCAGTTTCATAGCTCACTCTTCCAAAATTTACTTGGCCCGGAATTTGAAAGATGGAACTGCTACTTGAGTAAAATCCTGCAGACTATTCGGTTCTCTAGTCCAAAGGAATACGTATATTTCATGAACAAAACATCCACTGGTCGGAAAAAAATCACCTGTTATATTTCGTTTACGCTTGCGTTTATTCGGGTTCTTAGGACGAATATCAATAATCTCATGGCTGTGTTCATTTCTAGTCGCGACCAGTTCGAACCCCGAAGTCACTGCCGTTTTTCGACACCTTAACGACTTCCACTTGGCACATTTCCAGTGCTGGGTGGTGAGTGTTGTAGTTTTCTTGGTAAAAGAATGCCCGTCTATTATAAGGGTGCGCTGGTTTTTCTGAGACAGACCCCAGCTAATTTCGACCATGGTTAAAGACGACTAAATGATTCTTAATTTAAGTTTTAAAATAATTAGAACTGATATGAAGAAAACGATTATCGGTAAAGATGATTAAGTATTTGAATCAAACGGATCCAAAAAACTGAGTAAATGATTATAAAAATATATAAAATATGGCTATTTTTAAATATCGCCAAGTTCGCTAATCCGATTAAAGCTTAATATTATAAACCAATTGAGTGTGAACAAAAATCATCTAATTTTGAGAAAACTTCACATTTATGTACTCAATATTGAAGCCTCACAGATAAGCAAATTGGGCCATTGGGGCTTTTAAGCCTACAAACAGTAATCGTACAAAGCAATGCATTAAAATGGTCTAACCACATTGGGTATTTTCCGTCTTATTTGGATATTAAACACAGCTACTACTGCCTGAACAGAGACACAATATAACGTGTTACTCCGAAGGTTTTACTTGCACCACTACATACTCTATCTATGTTTGGTAGGTTAGTCTAACGGCACAAATGTTTTAACCTTTTCGGTGTTCACATTTGGTTATTTTATGTTGGGATATATTATAAATACTTCTGAAGCAAAGCAAATGCGTCCCCTTTTAATTTCAGAGCTAGCGGAGCAAAAAGCGCATGTAGCATTGTTTGATGCAAAAAATACCTTCAGTAAAACAAAAACTTTTTAATGATGATACTGTAGCTAGAGCGCGACATTTTACAAAATTTAGATCAAGAAAAAATACACAGAAAATTTTAAAACACCGCCCATAATGCTCGCATCACTTTAACTAACCAAAAAAACCAACTGACAACGAATTAACACAGAGGCAAAGCGGAGTTTAGCACCACTTGCGATACAACAAGACAACGGCGAACTGGCCGACAGAAAAAAAGACAAAAGCCGCTAAGTTGAAAATTTTTATTTAAAATGTCTGAAAAAACTAGATCTCCCAACGTTTTTCATGAAAAGCAAAAACTCCAAAAGCCCCTCTCAAATTATAAAGATAAGCGAGATTTGTTGGAGCATGATTCTTCGTCATCCTGTGGAAAAAGTTAATTCCGGGAGAAAACTCTGGGACCCCGTTGCAATACTGTTGCATAAAAAAACTAAAAATTGAAGAATTCCAAAAAAAAGCGAATCAAAAGCTTTCAGTATTGGCATTTTTAGATGAGTCTAAGAAATCAGTACTTCCCTGCTTCAATCTACTTGAAAGATTAAAACTAAAATTCAACTAAAAAATTAAAGTGAAGCTGTTTTCTGAAAGCGTAACTTTGCTTTCGTCTTCGTGAATGAACTTGAAGCTTCAAAAACCACAAAAGCTTCAGACCACAAAAATTGATCATAGGCAAAGCTGCACTTCGAAAACACAAGCGATAAAACGGCAAAAATAATCTGTTAAATTGCAAGAAAGCGAAATACGTTTATATATTTCAAGGTTCATTTTCTATGGGCCGGTATCGAATTGCCGACGGGGAAATTACGAGTTTCGCATCCTCTCATCTGCTCCCAGGCCAATTGAAAAAAATGTAACACTAGGCAACAAACTAAAGCCAATAGAACACAGAGTAATGAATTAAACTAACTGCCACTTTTCATACTATGACTTCACGCCATTCATTATTTTCTGACCACTGACATCTGCCTATTAAAAAAAATATCTGATTTGGTTAGCTTATAACAAACTAATTTTCAACGGATAAAATTTGACAGCTCCAAACCGATTGTCTGACTACTGTTAAACCTTAGAAGTCATTGCATCTCAAATCAAGTCTGGAACTGACGCAAAATTTATATCAATTAGCCCTTTCTAAACTTTATCTGTTCAAGCTCAATTTTTCATCTTGGCAGCTTGACTTTTAATTTGTTAAGTTCACTTCGTATTCATTTTCCAAGTGGAAAAAAATTACGCTCTGCAAAACAAATGGCGCGAAAAAACGTGAATTACTTTTAGTCGGTCACGAATTAAAGCTTCCCATCGCAATAGAAAATTTACGTATAAATAGTTTTATCAAAAAACCGTCATGTAAATCAAAAATTCAACCGTAGGCAACAGACAGTTGGAAAAGATAAATGTACAAAAGGAATCAGAAAAAAGAAGACCTGTTTTTTGAAAAAACTTCAATTGTCCAATTTCAAAATAAAAAAATAGATGAAATTAAACCTCTTTGAACGCCAAGAAAAATTAAAAATGTTACTTTTTGATAAAACAAACCCAATTTGAAAAATAAAAACTGGATTATTAGGTGAAATTTGTATTCCGCTGAAAATCAATATCCACTTTCGAAACTAGAAGTCGACCACGTTTTTCGTGACTTTTACACTTTCGCTGTTCGAAAAGAAATGAACTGAACTTAAAAAGAAATCAGAAGTCAAACCACGAAAAGTAAATTTGAGCCTGAACAAATTTTAAGACTTTTCCTGAAAAAAATCACCAAGACCTATATACGAGTATGCACTACGTTCATGGCTCTTAAAAACACCTCGAGCACAAAAATTCCGTTATTTTTTATGAAAGTAGTCGAAAGAAAAATGTTCCGAAGCTAGAAAACGACATGGTCACGAAAATGAGCTTAAAAAGCAAGCAAAAATAAGAAGCTGAAATTTCTCCTCCGCCGAACGGTAGACAAACCAGGGACATAAGGATATCAGCACATTGTTTAGTCATCCGCTCCACTATCTATGCTATCGGCACCTGCTATATGGATCAAAAATATCAGGTACAAAGTTTGAGTTGAAGTTTTCAGTAGTTTGGAAGAAAAACTCACCTACGACAGAGACGGTTTAACAATAGAAAGAAAAGACCAGTACCTGAATTTCTGTGCTTCTGAAAATCAATAGTAAGTCACTTCTAGTTCTTGTGCAAACGTTTGTGCTTCGGGTTTCAACAATCGACACAGTAATTTCTCTGACAGTCTCCAAAAATGGCCTTCAGCACATTGTATTCATTTGGTCAAACGGTTAGAGATAACAGCAGCAAAGGATTGAAATCGAAGTTTGTTGAGCTTCTTTTACAGTAACAGCATAACGGAAACGAATCAGTTGGTGCTTACCGGACTAGAAAACCCAAAATGAAATTAAATAGAACGCGTCAACAGCGCTTTAGTGGAAATTCAGACTGATATAAACTTCAGTTTCAATGTGGATTCTAAATTGCATGCATTAAGAACTCACTCACTCTTCTTACTTAAAAAAAAATGGGCAAAAAGCTTTTTATATCCGAATTGGCAGATATTTGACACGATATTAATTTAAACACGCAATGCTTTACTACAGTGGTTCTACAGGCCAACTTGGTGAGTTAAAAAAAAAGACAAGTACATATACTTAACTAGTTTCCAAAAATATATATACATTTTCATTGACTACTCCAGATACCATTTAACACAGTAATAGAAATGAAGCTTCCAGGGGTTTTTATTTAAACTGACCGCTTTGGTCGACTGCGGCTCGCCTTCTGTTACCACCATTTGAACACTTGCTGGAAGGAGTATCAATATTCATTTTAATCTGAAAGCCATTTCAAATTTTGTTGCTGGTGGATGCTCTAAGAAAAATTTTACGTTGAATAGTGTTCTCAATTTTACGTTTATCGATGTCAAATTTAAGTTCTCGACTAAAATAATTCATTGAAATTTTTGTTCCGACCATTGAACTTTGTCTTCGGGTTTGTTTAAGTTTTTATATAGTTTTCACCCAAAATCCGGTGCTTTTTGTTTTCCTCGCAGAATTCGGTGCTTCATTCAAATCAAAATGTTCGTAATCCAGCTTCAAGACTCTTTAATGATTTAACCTTTTCGATAACACTGAAAAAGTTTACAAAACTGTAACAATAGGCAAGCTTTATTTCGCTGGAAAATCTATTAACTAAAATCTATTTCCGAAACTAGAAGTTTTTACTTTTTCGGGCCATTTCTGCTTTTATCATTGAAGAGCATAAATTGCTATCTTTCAGCATATGAACTCAGCTGAAATTGAAAAATTCTTTAGGACTTTTCCTGAAAAACCAATCACCAAGACCTACATAAGAGTATTCACTACGTTCACGGCTATCAATGAAAAGTAAATTAACACTAAGGCGTAGCTGATCTTCGGCCACGTGCGATACAAAACAAGAAAGCCGCTGTTGAAAAAAAAATCGAAAATGTCGAAAACCTAGATCTATCTAAATGAATAAGGCTAGTTTCGAAACAAAAATGTGCCAAGACAATAGAATATGAAATTAGCAAACAAATCTAACCAAGCGATAATAAAGCCAAAAATACCTTGGCAGAAACCCTTTAACTTGAAAAAAACTCAACAAGACTTATCAAAAGTTATTGAATTCACTCGCCCTCATAACACATACACACAAAGAGAACTTCCGTTCCTCGAACGACGCAATATGAGGCCACTAAGCCGATATAATATAGGCTAACATAGGCCTAAATTTATAAGGCCAAAAACAATTAAAAGGAGCCGAAAAAAAATTAAGAGTTAAAAGTTACAAGCGTGTAACGCACCTCCGGTTTTTCGAATTTTTGACAACTCATGAAAAACCGCTTATATTGAAAACCAGATCTGCAGGCTTTTAGTGTACTCTGACAGCACCCAATTACATGGTTGGTAATTTCATTTTATAAAATTTTTTAATTCCTATTTTCCGTCATCTCGAAAAGTACAAAGATTTGAGTGGTCATATTTGGAGGCAACATTTGCAGCTCCTGGGAGTAGCCTAGCAGCACCCAATTACAGGGTTGGGATACTTAAATTGTGTGAATTTTTGAAAACCTAAGTTAACTGAAAATTTAGGAAAAATCATAAAAAAGCCCTCATATCTCGATAACTACAAGGATTTGAGAAGTCATATTTGGATGCTAGATTTACAATCCCTATGAGTACCCAGACAGCACCCAACTACAGGGTTAGGAATTTGAAATTGAAAAAAAAAATCAAAGTTGAGTTTTCTGATAAACTTTGCAAAAAAATCACAAAAACGTCATATCTGGAAAACTACAAAGATTTGAACAGAAATAATTGGATAGATAGAAGGTTTGCAACCTGTGAGAGTACTCTGATAGCCCCCAAGTATAAGGTTGGGAATTTCAAATTTTGAAAAAAAAATTGTTTGAGTTTACTGAAATTTTTTTGAAAAAATCACAAATAAACAACACTTTTGCTTGTCGAACGACGCAAAATTAGGCCACTAAGCCGATAGAATATAGTCCTTACTTATGCTGCCGAAAAATGAAATTAGAAACTAAACAATTTTACGAAGCGGAAACAAGGCCGAAAACCTTTGAGCAGACACCAGTTGAGCAAAAACAAACTGATTTTATAAACAACTTTAAAAAGTTTCAAGTCCCCTGAAACTATCCTCTGAGTAACTATTGCCCACTCAGTAGTTATTGGTAAGCTAGTACCCACCCAGATAGTTCACACACATAAGTGATTCAACTAATTTTGTTCAACTAGTTGTTAACCCGAAAAAAAAGTCAACTTCCGATTTAACAACTCTTGCTAATCGCAAGCGTAAAAAAGACATAAAAACTAATTAAAAAGTTGTTAAAGCCCAATACTCTTCAATACACACACACGGACGCACACAAAAAATTTTTTGCTCATCAAACGACGCAATCTGAGGCCAATAAGCCGATATAATACAGGCCGAAACTTAAACCGAAAAAAAAAATGAAAACAAAAAATGAAACTTTAAAGACTTAACTAATAAAAAAAATTGTTAAAACCCCATCACCTTCAATACAAACAGGCACCAATTTTTGTTGCTCATTAAACAACGCCATATCATTGCACTAAGCCGATATAATATGGGCCGAACTATTTAAATCGAATAAAAAAACATTAAGTTTTAATAAATCGAGTTGGTAAAATTACAACCGTTACTTGAAAACATTTCGAACAGGACAGATATTTCAAATGCCAACAAGCACACAATATTTCTGTAGCGGTAAACTTGTTGCAAAGAGGCTCCCATGAAATAGGTCCAGATGAAAAGAGTCCTGTGAACAAAGTTATTTACGGGTAAATAAGTACCAGATTGCAACACGGTTGCTTATCGCAAGGGTAATTAACTTTGCAAAACGTAATAAGCTTTGAAAAACGTAGAAAATTGTCCTCT